CCGTTACTTCTCCGCTGCTTTCTTGTTCCAGTATGAAAAGCATACTGTTTTTCTCAGACGCGGAGGGATACTGACTTGTTGTGAAAAGTAACTTACAATTCTACCCGTGGTATACGCTCAGTATATCACGGCTAAGAACCAATCAGATTGCTTGATTTGACTTGTCCGTTTTATAAATCCATTTAACATAGTGTATGTTTATTATAACATTGTTCTGTGTGTCAAAATGAAAGACAGCCCACACACCTATTAATCATCAAACCGTGGGGTCTTATTTCATTTCCTGTTGATTCCTATCAACACGTAATGTTGTATCGATGTATATAGAGATGTACTACAGCAAAAGTATTATCCGTAAGGACTTCCTGCAACAACACCACGCCGTTATCTTGATTCTGATTGGCCAGAAGACATTATCAAAGATGTTCTATTGAGAAGACGATCACTACGTGACAAAAGTTTTCAAAACCGTTTCTAGTCTTCGGTATTTTCCAGACAAGTGGCGTTCTGGACATGCGTTAAATGCGTTAAATATTTTAACGCAATTAATTCAAAAAATTAATTACCGCCGTTAACGCGATAATTTTGACAGCATTAGTTTTATTTGGTTGAGTATGGCTAATATCTAACTGAATCTGGTATCACATTCATGCAGAGGTGGAAAAAGTACTCAGGTCTGTTACTTAAGCAAAAGTACAAATACTACTTAGTCAAAATAATGATACCTGATTTAAAAAGGTTAGTTCAGAAGAAGTGCAGATGTATTAGCAGCTAAATGTACTTAAAGTATCAAAAGTAAATTAATGGTTAGGTAAGCAGGACATTAATATCTCATATCATATAAACTGCCATGTGTTTTTTTAATAGAAAAAGGTGGTGTAACTATGAGCGTGAAATAAATCTAGTGAAGTGAGAAGTACAATACTTGCCTCTGAATTGTAGTGAAGGAGAAGTATAAAGGAGCATAAAACCACCACCAAGTACTCACGTAGACTAAAAGTATGTCAAAATGTACTTAAGTAAATGTACTTAGTTACATTGCACCACTGCATACACGCAATTTGTTATATTCACTGTAAGATTCTATTTTATCTCAAATTAAAGCTTTTTTTAGCATAGGTTTAACAAATGTTTTAAGCTTCAAAATAATACCATATTATGATAATAAAATGGAAAATAAGTGTTTGGGACCTTTTGTGCAACAGCTCCATTAAATCAATTCTAAGCTTTTGTTGTGCTAAATCTACACAACTGTTCAAACTTTTGTTGGTTCCAAAAAGTTTGCGGGAAAAAAAGACATCAGTGTGGTATATACATTTAAATTCATGTGTTAAATCTTTTCCACAGGACACTCGTCAGATTTACTGAAGGAAATAGGGAATCGAGACAGTGATGCTGCTGATGTTCTGCGAGGTAAGAGACCATTTTTATGTTGGGCGAGGGTGACTATTGCAAATAAACATAACAACAGGATTAGGTTTCAGTTTTAATCACAGGTAAATCCAACTCTGTTGTTTCAGAGGCAGATTTATACATCGACTCAGACATCCGGTCACTGACTCGAGAAGACCTGCTCGAGCTGTTTCCTGGACCAAAGAACTTCAAACTGAGAAGGTGGATCTTTGAAATGATACACAAACCGGTGAGCTTTCAAACTAAAATGTGAGATTTAAAAGAGGCTACATAGAAACTAGGCCTTAATTAAGTCATTCAATATTTCTGTAATATAACATTTTTGTTTCAGAAGCCCGTTAAACAGCTCCCCCCCACAAAGCTGAATAACGTCATCTCTCCCAAGGGTATGTACAGCCTTTTAACACCCCTTTCACTTTCACATTTGGCACATACTTGCTATTTTGGTACGGCGAAACGCCCTGGAAATGCTTGTCACTGAACTTTGAGTTTAGAGTATGTCATCCCAGACTTTGGCCTACTGGGTAAAGGGTAAACATCTGTCCACCTTAGCAGACATATGTGCTCAGTGAATCAAATCTATATGGTTTATTTTGTTGTCAGTAATTGAATTATGCTATTTCCTTGACATTGTCTTTGACACACGGAAATACCCTATCCATCTCTCTCTCTAGGTCGTCCTCAGACGAGCCCTCCATCGTTGCTTTCAGTCATCCCAGTTCTCCATGGTTGGTCTAAGTAGAACACTTTGAGCTTATAACCCAAAATGAATGTCCTTTTTGGAGTTGATGTTGAAATAAAACGCTATAAGATATAGTATAGTATAGTCAGTAAGTACATTTATGCTTTCCAAAAACAGGTTCCTCCGTTGATAGGATGGACACTTCTGATCAACAACCACAACCGAAATATCAAAGTAAATCTATTTATTTTTCTTCTTCAAGAATGTTCTCATGTCAATGTTTGTTCATGTTTACAACAGCAGAGTTTTTTCAAATTCTACACGACTGGTAGAAAGTTTGGAATCATTTGTTTTATTGAAAAATCCCCAAAATTATAATTCAGACACAAATGTATTATTTATATTGAAATAGCAAAAGGAAAACAATTAAATGGGTACATCTTCTACAAAGCTGATGGTCTCAGAGTTTGCCTGACAAGGGAGATAACTGTTTGTTACCATATTTCCCTCCAAAGACCCTTCGATTTTAAATTGTTTATCAGTTCAGAAGAGCGTATGTGACAGTCAAGTCATTTTTAGCCACAACCGGAGGTTTTGGGAAATTGTTCCACTTTGGGTCTACTGTGGTCAAATGAAATAGGGATAAACTGTGATTTGTTTGTCCATGGCATTTTCAGTTCATCTTCACTGATGATGTTATACTGAGTGCTAACCTGTAAGACTAAGCATATATTTCTGTTGTGAGAAACAGTGTTAGTTCTTCATGGAAAACATGACTTTTTTTGCAAACATTTCAAAAATAAAAAGAAGATCTGTGTGTAAAGCATACTCTCTCCAACCTTAGAGTAAAGTAATATAAAGTAGTCCTCTCAGCCATTTCACTGTGTCCAATCAAGCTTCAATGGAAGGAGATCACAAACTTTTGAATGATATTGTGAATGAACCTGACTAATTAATGTTTTTTTTCATTACAAGAGTCCACCGAGGCTGTGAATAAACGGAAAGGTGAGTCAGAGTTGGATAGTTAGAAACTCAGATGTTCAAATTTGTTGTAACTATTTTTGTTGGAGCTGCATAGCAAAACACATCATTTTATTCTAGTGTAGGTTCTCTCAAGTTATGTTTGTGTATTAATCTCTTTGATATTTACATCCATTTTCCTCCACACAGGCAAATTGGTGTACCAGGTGGTTGTTACCGGAACAACCTTTGATGCCCATTTTCATCTGATGGAGAAAGTGAAGAAGGAAGTTAAGGATCAGTTTGATCTTGTTCAAAGCAACAGCAACGACTACGACGTCACTATTGTCTTCTGTCCCATCGTTTCTCGCATGGGACCAGATGTTGAGTCAGCCATGAGAGATGTTAGAGGTAAGGGAACTTTTGTTTCAGCCTGTTCATACTGAATGGAAATGGCTTATACATTTGTATCAACATATAGGTTATCTCTTACTTGCATAGTCAGGTTTTAAAAATATTGATGTATTTGTTTAAGAGTATATATTGGTATTTATAATTTTTTAAAAATGCCACATGTTTTAATGATCATTTAGCATCTCTTAGAATTCCTTTTCACACCAAACCTAACATTTAGAGCTTTAATCTAAAAATGTCCTCCCTAATTATCAAATGTATCCTTCTCTCTTTTTGTGTCCTCAGGTGATAAACCTGTCATTCTGGTCTTGATGCACCACGAATATGAGGTCAAGTTCATTCCAAATGTGAAACCTTTGTGTGACGGCGCTGACATTCAGTTGCTTGTCAACGTTTTCTTCCACGAGACCAAATCTGGATTACTCTACTGTGAAGAAAATAGAGCTGCTGCTTGCGAGATAATTAAAAAATTACAAGAGTGCCCCATTATTAAAGCCCAGGGTCCGGCTGCTGGAAGTAGTTTGACTGCTAATTCGAGGTCCAGCAGTAACAAGACAAGTTACAACGACTGCTGCGTACAGTAAATTAAAACAACAAAGTGTAATGAATCAGAGATCCTGTATTAGTTTCACAGCAGGGAAATGTGCATTGTTCCAGCAAAAGTAGCATAGTAGCAAAAGTAGCATCGCAGGTAAAAAAAACAAACATGCAATAATACAGCATACGCTAATTTATTAAAACAGAAAAGAAAAGCACACATTAGTTATACCAGAATACAAATAAAGACAAATAAGTAGGTAAGAACGCAACTATTGCTAAAAATGATGATCAGCAACTTCAGAACTTAGTGACATATATAATGTAAGGTGTTGAGACATTTCAAAAACATGTTGGGACATTCATTACAATGATGGCTTCACATAAGGAAGATTATTGCATGGTATTTCAAGAAAAGTGTCTATTGCACGCAGTTTCCTCAGCCGGTACAGTCTGCTCTGACCGTTCTTGAACTGGGCAGCAGAGTGATCTAACAACACAAGTCAAGCAGTCAAAATGTGATTGATTAGACAGTTTGGATTTTACTCTTCTTCCGATTGCAGAAAATATTTTATCCTCATTTGTAAGATTGATTTTAGCGACTAATTTGTCATCTAATGATGTCCCTATTTATTTAAAACATGGGTGTAAAAAGCTAAACAATGTGTTCTCTGCACATTTACTG